CAACACCGCGAGGAAGGTACCTATTGCAAGAATTACTGTGGATACACCTTATCTCAAGGGGCAAGTGGAAGCGCAGTGTCTCCCAGATGCCATTTACGACCTGATAATAGGTAACGTTCCTGGAGCTCGACCTGCAGATGAGCCAGACCCAACTTGGCAAGAAGCATGCGCTGTAACCACGAGAAGTCAAGCTAAGAAAGACGGTGAAGTTACCCCTTTAAAGGTACCAAGCTACCAAGACAGCCCCATTGAAGATAAACAGAAACTTCAACAGATGCAGAGTGAAGATGAGAGTTTACAGAAGTACTGGGACCGAGGTGATGTACTAGTGAAAAGTCAAGCTGAGATTTCTTTTGAGGTAAAGAGTGGGATATTGTACCGCATCTACAAACACCCTTTTGTGAATGGTGGGAAGCCTGTGAAGCAAGTGATGGTTCCTGTGCAGTTAAGACCCCGAACAATGGAAGTGGCTCATGGATCTATAATGGGAGGTCATTTAGGTATTAAGAAGAGGACTGACAAGATTCAGAGTGCATTTTATTGGCCAGGTATTCAAGGTGATGTAGCCCATTTCTGCAAATCGTGTGATGTCCGCCAGAAGACTGTAAACAAGGGATCCGTTCCGAAGGTGCCACTACAGAAGATGCCTTTGATTGATAAACCATTTAAAAGAGTAGCCATTGACCTTGTCGGACCTATCAGTCCACCAAGTGAAGAAGGACACAGGTACATCCTGACACTTGTAGATTTTGCGACTCGCTATCCTGAAGCCGTTCCTTTGAAGACTACTGACACTGATTGCAGAGGCGTTAGTAAATATCTTCAGTCGATTGGGAGTTCCTGAAGAGATTTTAAGTGACCTTGGTACACAGTTCGTCTCTGATTGCTTGAAGGAAGTAACACGATTGCTGAGTATCAAGCAGATCACAACCACGCCCTACCATCCTATGTGTAACAGTTTAACTGAGAAGTTCAACGGAACAATGAAGCTTATGTAAAAGAGATTGTGTAGTGAACAACCAAGACAGTGGCATCGCTTTATCAACCCTTTGTTGTTTGCTTATCGTGAGGTTCCCCAAGAGTCTACTGGTTTTTCACCGTTTGAGCTACTGTATGGAAGAGCCGTTAGAGGTCCGATGACTATCCTTAAGGAGCTTTGGACGAAAGAAGTAGAGGAACCAGAAGTTAAAAACAGCTACCAGTATGTTTTTGAGCTGCGTGAGAAGTTGGAAGAAACCCTTAAAGCCAGTTACAGAAGGCTCAAGATAAAGGAAAGCACTTTTGTGATCGTAAGACCAGAGTCAGAAAATTTCAGCCCAGTGAGAAAGTTCTTGTGCTACTACCAACTGATCACAATAAGTTGCTGATGCAGTGGAAGGGTCCTTTTGAAGTGAGTTCAGTAGTAGGCCTTAACGACTACAGAGTTAAAGTGAAGGGAAAGGAGAAAGTTTACCACGCGAATCTCCTCAAGAAGTATTTTGAAAGAGATGAAGCTACCACAGAAGGAGCATGAGTGGTGGTAAAAGCAGATGATCATTTGAAGGAAGATATGCACTGTGAAATTGAAGAATGTGAAGTAAAGGATGCGGAGGATGATGATAATGTTGATTTCCTAGAGATCGCTGGCTATGATGCTAAGGAATCTGTTGCAGATGTTACCACCGGGTCAAATCTTACTGACGAACAGTATTCTGAGTTTATGGACCTAGCCAATCAGTTTTGAAGTCTATTTACCGAGGCACCAGGTACTACAGACCTCGCCCAGCATCACATCAAACTTACCCCAGATGAGCCTGTTCGGTCAAGACCATATCCAGTTCCTTACAGCATGCGGGAGTCGTTGAAGAAAGATATTGCCGATATGATAAAAATGGGAGTAATGAGGGAGTCTGATTCACCCTATGCGTCGCCTGTTGTTGTAGTGAAGAAGAAAGACAATACCAATCGAGTCTGCGTTGACTATCAGAAGCTTAATAAGCAGACTGTTATTGACCCTGTACCCATGCCGACCGCAGAACACCTGTTCCAGAAGTTGAGTGGTGATAAGTTTTTCACAAAGATTGATCTTAGCAAGGGCTACTGGCAGATTACCATACCTGAGGAGGATATTCCGAAGACTGCGTTTGTAACACCTGACGGTTCTTACGAGTTCTTAAAGATGCCATTTGGAATTATTAACTCTGCAGCAACCCTGAAGCGAGCTATGAAGAAATTAATTGAAGATTTAGACAATGTCAATTTTTACTGGGACGATATATTGGTTCATTCACGCTCCTGGGAAGAGCATATTAAAGCCCTCCGATAGTTGTTTGCACGTTTATTGAGAGTAGGGATGACTATTAGACCAACTAAGTGTATTTTTGGAGCGAGTTGCGTTGATTTCTTGGGACACCGCCTAGAACAAGGAGTGCTTGGTCTACACGAGGAGAATGTCGAGAAGATTACGAATGCGCCAAGGCCAGGTACTAAGAAGCAAGTTCGTTCGTTTGTTGGTTTGGCCGGATATTACAGAGACTTTATCCCTAACTTCGCAGCTATTGCAGCTCCCCTGTCAGACCTGACACGCAAGGGTCAACCAACTAGAGTCGAGTGGGGTCAAGCACAAGAGAAGGCATATCAGACCATCAAATTTCATTTGACGAATGAGCCAATTCTTCGTCTTCCAGACCCAGTGAAAACGTACTACTTGCAAACGGATGCGTCAAATACTGGAATTGGTGCTGTATTAATGCAGAAGCATGATAAGAAGCTGTTCCCCGTTTGCTACGCAAGCAAGAAATTGTCAAGTGCAGAAAGGAACTATTCTACGATTGAGAAAGAGTGCCTAGCAGTAGTCTGGGGTATCAAGAGATTTCACCTTTATTTATACGGAGTTCCCTTTGTTCTGCAGACGGATCATGAACCCCTAAAGTATATGAACAGTGCCAAGTTTGCGAACAGACGTCTTATGCGTTGGGCTATGTTTTTGCAAAGTTATATATTCAGAGTTGAAGCCATTAAAGGCTCAGAGAACGTTGGAGCAGATTACTTGAGTAGAGCTGAAGAATCAGTTTACTGACATTGAACTGCACCTTATTTATCAATTTTTCTTGTTTAGGAGAAATTTAGGAAATTTCTTCTGAAAGGGGGTTATGTTACGAAAAATTGTATTGCGTGACTAGCGTGACTTTCTAGAAGCTTCGCGAGAGTTCATAATTTGTTTATTTTAGGATCTTGTGTAAGCGTTTCTAAAGCGGTATATTTTGTAATCTTTCTATAATTAGACTATTTGTAATGTTCTAGAACTTTACTGTAAAAGTATATAAGTAGGTGAGTCCGAGTTGAGTTTTAACTAGTTTTCACAAGCGAGGAGAGTTTGACATTAGTCGTGTTTAGTCAAGTGTGACGAAAACAGTGTTTGTTCAAGTTGGCGGAGGCCGTGTAAGTTTAACGAGTTACGTGCTGTTGTGGAGTTTTACATGGAAACTACGTTCATTTTGGAATAAATCTTCTTGTTGCTGTTCCGACAACCCTGCGTTCAGTTTAGTTTGCAAGCTACCCATCCTCTAAAAGATTACCCGCGTAACATAATTGCAACTGTCCTTAGCTCTTCAAGAGATGTCTGTCGAAAGTGAGGAAGAAAGTTGGTGTTCGAGAACAAAGCAATTCCTGTTGTTATTTACAGTAACCACCAAGGTACCTATTTGGGTTCTCGACTGACAAAACTGTGCTGCAAATGCAAAATTTATGAACATCATGGATACTGGTCTGTTGACGGTAAACAACATTTTAACAGGGACTCTGTATTCTCAGAGTTTCGTCTTTCCTCTGAGGACACTGCTTTCCAGATGGATATTTTGGCTGAATGCAACAATCTGCTTGTCATCGGCGCCGTCCCTTTCAGTACATATGCCGCTAGTTACAATAGATGTATCCAGTATTGTAAAATGGCAATGACGAATGACATTGATCCTAAAGTTAAGAGAATGAAAAGGTATGTTGATAACTATCACAAAGATAAAGCAAGTTTAAGTACTCAAGCAAACTGTATTTAGAACTATGAATATTTTGCAACAATTTACATCACACATACGATAAGCATTTACGTGGAACCCCTTGTTTACAAAAAATCATCTTACAAATGTAGGTCATAGCATATCATAGCCTAAATAACTATTCTGATCCTTTGATTTTCCCAGGGCGCGTTGTATGGAAAGCATACAAAATGTACATAAATAGAATTAAAATTTCAAAAAATTGTTCGTACAACAGAGAAACAAGAATAACTTCCCATCAGAGATAACAAGCCATTCGATTTCAATTCCTTCACAGAGAATTCACAAGCCTGTTTTTCTGTGCTTGCTGTTTTTACTAAAACTTGGCAGCCTGCTTCCCATACCCCTCGCCTTCCAATAGCCATCAAGATAATATAAAAAAAAAATCTGTTAAGAAAGACCATGAAATACCAAGTTTATGTTCACTGTTGACAAAGAAGATATTTTCAAATAAAATATTCATGTATCTTTGAAAACCAGAGAATAAATGTTACAAATTTACCTCATTTTTATCAGTTCCTTGTAATGGCACATTACTACTTATGCTTGGCAGTTGCTAGATCTTTTATTTCCTGCAGAATTAATAGCCTGAATAACTCCCTTTGATTGCTATGCTCAACGTCATTTTTTGTCCGAACCTACCCTTTCCTGCTTTATGTCCATGTTGGGTAGCACAGGGTTCATCCCACTCCTGAAGTCTGGAATACCTGTGCTAAAATTTGAATTCGCACATCTTTTTTCGCGTGCTTCGAGGTAGAAAGTTAAAGGTTACGTATTTTTCAAAGTTCCTCCACAGAAACAATAATCGAAATTTAGGTATGGACTTTAATTCTGGAGTATGCGGCCTATAAATTGTGGTTTTAATTTCAAAGGCAGGGTGAGTATTATTAATCCTGTAAACAAGCTTTATTCTACCGCTTACAAAGTTAAACAGACCTTTTTCGCACTAGCCAAAAAAAACATGAATTAGGTGAAGAATATGAAACATGCTTGTTGCTGAAGAGTCATCATAGTTATTGAAACATATTTTATTTAGTAGATATGCGTAACTTACATAGGAACATAGCTAGCTGGCAAAATAATTGCATGTTGTTTTACTGTGCAGAATAATATGATATGAGTAGAAATATATTTCGGCAGTTTGATAATTATCTTAGAGAGAAATAAATGTTGGACTATCCACCTTAACGTTTCATGAAGCCTAATTTAATTGCAGATATTGTAAAGCCGAGGTGACTTCTTAAAATCATTCGAGCAAATTTTCTAGTAAACAATTTAGTTTACTTTACATACAAATTGTAAAAGGGACAAAGTCCAACATCTTCAGGTGCAAATTGTGTGCATGAGTTTTTTAAAAAATCCTGTTTACTGTATTACTGTGTGATAACTCGAATTCCCTCATGAGAGGGGCAAAGTCCGACACTTTCACGTGGAAACTGTGTGACTGTATATCTCACAGTAATAAGAAGATTCAATAAGATGAAGACCTCTTTAGTTTTGCAACTAGTGCGTTAAGTGAAGGCTCTTTTAAGTTCTTGTAAGAATCAATAACTTATAACACTTTTAGAATCAAGACGGTATTTCCAGTTACGTACATGGCATTACCTATTCTTTTAACAAAGTAAAAAATCAACAATTTATTATTTACTTAATTAAGTATTAATTGGTTCACTCACATTTGAAATTAAATGATCGTGTCTACAATTCATAATCTCAATTCATAATTTAACGATGGGATTTGTCTAGAAGGAAAAAAATAAAGTCGAACAGAGCTGGCATATCTGGGCCTTGGAAAGACTCTGCTTCCTTATTGATCAGAGCAATCTAGCACGTTTTTCACATTGTCTCAGGCGAATAAGAGAAGATGAAATTATCTTTTTGCTATCACCAACATTATCTAACCAAATGCAAGGGTAAAACATATGCATTTCTTGTACCTGGTTTGGAGTAATTTAGTGTGTTTACAATTAATTTGAAATCAGCAGTAGTCTGAAAAGAAAATGCAATACATATTGGAACTGGAGATAATGCAGCTACTTTGAATTTAAGAAATATCCTTGACTGCCAACAGCAACCTTTATGTAAATGAGACCACAAATTGGATTGTCGTCTAGGGATTTACAGCAAATAGAGGCATTTTTAGGTACGCATAAAAATATTGAAGTAATCTTCTTATTGTCGAAATAAGTGTTGGCCTTTTGTGTTCTATAAAATAGATTTCAAAACATAATAATTATCGGTTTTCACATGGCATACTCAGAAAAAAACATGAATAATCTGTTTGGAATTTGATCACGATTTTATTCAAGGCACCTTAAGGCCTGGTCTTTCATAATTTATTCATTGCGGCAATTACATATATTTTATCCGTAGTAATTATTTCCAGTTGAGATTTTGAATATTCAAAACAAGTTATTGGCTAATGAGGAAGTCATGAGACGGCAGATATGGGAGCAGCTTATGGTGGTCAGTGAGGGAAACTAAATTTGCAGAGACTTTTATCAGAATTCACACCCGAAGCACAAGAACGGGTAAAGCTGATTAAGACTTTGTTGAATTCTTAGGCTTAGATTCGTCCTTTAACCGACAGAAAGCAACTTTGATAAAAAAATCAAAACCCTCAAAGAAATTTGTAATGTTGGTGTTGGAAGCTACATGACCAATGATGCCAATGAGCTGACAACCCCATTGCTATTCAAGAATTTTGCTGACTGACAGTCCAAGAAACATTGTTGAGTGCTTGGCAATAAGCAACCCTCATGAGAGAAATGTGCAAAAAGCTAATGAACACGAACTGTTATGTGATCATCATATCTTGGCACTGATATTGAGTGTTAGGAACTCTAATTGCTTCAACGAAATTCCTCTTCTGTTTGGGCTGCTGTTTCTCGTATGGAGCTGGGAAACAGTTCATAAATATCCTTCAGTCTATTGGGAAGTCCCTTCACTTTGATTCCTTGTGAGTATATGGTCTACTTGGAACCATTAATATTAGTTCAAAGCGGCCAGAGATCCCACAAAAAATGTAGCAGCACTGGAACAGCGGCCCAAAAGTAGTGTCGAGCCTGGAATTCAGTGCTCTTTGCAAAAATTAAATGTAGATTTGTACAACACATTGCACCCATTTAAAGCTACAAGAATTATATGTCTGGAAACTGCCCAGTGGCTGTAATTTTTATATTTTAATTTTTTTTTATTTATGTGTACATTGATTATAGATTAGATACGTAGACTTGAACTAGGTCAAAACCATTTACTTGCTACTCAGAGTTTCATGCTTCATGAGAAGCAATCATCAGGCAACAGTTGCCTGATGATTGCTTCTCATGAAGCATGAAACTCTGAGTAGCAAGTAAATGGTTTTGACCTAGTTCAAGTCTACGTATCTATTCAAAGCTCTGGTAAACCCATTGAGCACTTTTTAGTTGATGATCAATTTGAATTTCGTCATTTTATCTATCTATATATATATAAATTCAACATCATTTTACAGTGAATACAGCAGTTTAAAACTTTTTTGTGTGTGTCTGGAGGGTGTCCACTGACAAGACTGTCCACTGTAATCTAGATGTGTAAACTTTCTTTCAAGGATTTGAACCTTTTTGTTAAGAAGGAGCCAATGGATGGTATGTATGTGGATTCAACGTGATTTAAATAAACGTCAATTAATGTAGACTGCAATTAATTGATGTAATACATAAAATGCAAAATTACTTTTCTTATTTTGTATAAACAAATTGCTGCACTTGAAATATGTAGAATAATACTACTAAAAGTTTGATTTCTGCACAATTCAAAAGAGAGATTTAATGTTCACGTTTACTGCAAAAGGCAAACATTAGACTCAAGTACACAATTTCTGAAAATAGAAAGTAAGCAGATAAAAACAGTGCCGAACAATTCCTATGGTTAAAACTGGCATAAAACTACTTATTTTTGTGTAGAAGCAATAATGAGGAAAGGGAAAGTAAGGGAAAAGCATGGTCATGTGGTACAAATATACGTCTGCTGTTTGGCGTAAACGTGAATCTCAATCTCTCTAACAATACAATTATAACAGATTCTTTTTGTACAATGAATACTGATGACCAAATAGAAACTTCGGTCCTAACAGTTGTACAATCTGCAACTGTTTTATTTATAAAACAGTCTGTTAACTAACTGTAATTAATTTTCTGACGTGAGTATAACTCCAGTCGCAGACACCCTTTTTGTGTCTGCAGAATGCCCACTGACAAGACTTTCCACTGTAATCTGAATATGTAACTATCTTTAAAAGAATTGCGGTTAATGAAATGGACAACAATGAAGGGAATGGTGTTGAACAAATAATGAATGGTATGTACGTCGATTTGTTGCAATTTAAATAAAACATCAGTTAAGGTATTCCTGGAGGCTAAAGTGACTATATCCGATCGCCGTCATTTTTTCTCAGTTCAAAGACAATGCCAATAGGGATCTGCCTGCAAAATTTAAGGTCGATATAACAAAAATTAAACGAGATATGAGCGAGAGAATTTTCGTTTCCAAGGCTGTTTTCGCGCGAAAAAGAAGACACCATACTGCATCCAAAACATGTTTATCTGGCGATCTAACTCCACATGGACGGACCTGTTGACAGCTTGTTGGAGTAAAGTCGTGTTATTTGATATGTTTATTTCTATCTGGCATGCATTGCAATGGCGGCGGACCGTGCAGTTGATGAGCTCAATCAAGCCTTCAAACAGAGCGGGTTAGTAAATTTCCTTCATACAGTTTCGTTATTTTCGGAGATTTTAAGGATTTTACAGCAGACCGTGCAGTTGATGAGCTCAATGAAGCCTTCAAACAGAGCGGGTTAGTAAATTTCCTTCCTACAGTTTCGTTAGTTTCGGAGATTTTAAGGATTTTTGGTTTGGTTAACGTAATATGTTTGCCAATTAGTTTTCAGACAG